TTTATAAATCAACAATTAATTAGTAAAATATAATAAAAATTTGAATATAATTATTTAAAAACCTATAGAATAAGATTACTTAAAAATTTTTTTTAAATATATTATAACAATATAATAAGCTATATCCAAAATTCTATTGTATATTATAAATTATAAAAAATTAACAAAATTATTTCAATACATAGATTTGTTAAATAAAAGTATAAAAAATCAAAAAACAAATTTTTTAAAAAGTTACTGTAAAGGTAATCTGCAGGTTTGGATCCTATCAAAAGTTCAGAATCTTAATTCCCTCCTTTAGGGGAATAATATATTATCTTATAAATTGCATTTAGAGGCTTTGGCTAAAGACAAGTGAGTTGGATTGAAGAAATTTGTACTTTGCATATATTCTCATGCATATAATAGTTTTTTGTGATTTAATAAATAAATGACACCAACCTGATTGTGGGATTAAAAAATAATAATAATAATAATAATTTTTTAAAGTTTTAAAAATTTTTTTGAAATTAATTTTATAAAATAAAAAATCTATTAATTCTATAATATTAATTTATATAATATAAGAAATATTTAATAAATTTTTTAGTCACAAATTTTTTTTTGAATTTTATAATTAATTTTAAATTCAAAAAATTTTTTTTTTAATTTGACTAGCTAGACCATATCTATGCATTCATTTATTTAATTCATGTATGCTTTATATCATGTATTACAGGACGAAGCTACCTATAAGTTATTCTAGAAATTGCTAGACTATATCAGATTTTACCCTCATGTTGGCTTGTTGCTATTGACTATAAATCCAAAGATCTATATATGTCAAGGCTAACATGCTAAAGTTCCATCAGTACCATTATTATATATAAAAGGTTCTATTTATAACTGGAGATGTGTTAAGGGAAAGTGTAAAGAGGAGAACTGGAAATAGTACCTATTAGGCAAATAGAATCTCTGCAGAGAAAATCCTTCTAAACCCAACTACCTACAGCTAAGTATATCATTTAATTTCCACCTTTCTAAAGCTACTCAAGAATGTTTAAAGAATTTATTTCATAGACTTACTGCCTATAGATTATTTTAGCTATCAGTACTTACTGCTGTTTTGGCTGCCTTTCTGGAATAAGTAACTGTAAGAGCAAACTATTACTGGATTGGAATAAGATCTTTCTGAAAACTTGCAGAAAGAGACACCAGGTACTACAAGAAAATGATTATCAAGTCAACTTACTAAAAGCGAACACCTCATACATCTTGCAACTTTTGATAATTATTGTAATATTAATTGGATAATCATCACATCATAATGTCTTTTCTAAAAATCACAATCCCAATACCTATTGGATCAGCATATAAAATGGCTTCTTATAGGAAACAATGCTTTTACAGGTTATGGCACCAGATACTATATTGATTCTATTTAACCGCCCTTACATGATATTGAACTGGTATCTTGTGATTTGATCTGTGGAGTGTTAACCACTACACTATTGACCCACAGGTCTTTAAAATTTTTAATAATAAAATAATTCAAAATTTATATATGAAAAAAGTCAATAAATTATAGGTTCTTTTAAAAGACTTTAAAATTAATATTTTATAATAAAATTATTAATTAATTAATAATAAAACTTTATTATTATTAAAAAAACTCTCACCTGATCATATCCGTTTTGCTAAAAAATTTTCTTTTATAATAATTTTAAGCAAAAAAAAATGTTTTACTCTCTTTATCGCAAGTAAGTCCCAGCTCAGGAACTCAAGAACCTTTAAGACAACTGGTGCAATGGAATGGGATCTTTAGTTGAAGTCTATTCAAATTTGGGAGTCTTGCTTATCCTTTGGTTGCATGAGGAAAGGTTCGTGACAGTTCTCTTTTCTTTTGTTTTCTTGTACTCCTCCTTATTCTTATTTTATTATAAAAACCATTTATATTATCACCATTCTACTCGCTAAACAAAATACTTTCCAAAACACATACTCAAACTAAATTAGTAGGTCTACTGTTTGTTTTAAGTCAATCCTCAAAGTCAACTTTACTATTGCAACACTTGCTATACTATCCCAAATTTCTCAATATTTTTACCTAGCCAAAAAACTGAAATCAGTTTATCTCTTTAAATAATTAGTGCTCTCCAATCATCAATCAGATTTTGTCTAAAAATCAAAACAAAAACTGAACCTGTTTAAACTGGTTTTATATCACAACAACAACAATCACAACAATAATGTCAATCATACCACCACTGACAACTATAACAACAAACAATATCACATATACTCTATTATCTATAGTAACTAAAGAGCTGGAGAGATGGGACAACAAGCCTGTCTGGAGGTTCTCTTATAGAAATAATTAGTTTTCTACTTATATATTTTATAGTCTACTTCACTTAGCTTTAGTTTTAGTTACATTTATTTTTTTCTCTTTTTTAATTACTTACAAATTTACAAAAAGACTTCAGTTTTATATTATTTAATCTATTTATTAAATTTGAAATTTGATTTTTTGCTTGAATTTTTTCAATATATATTTTTTTAATTGAAATAGTTATTAATCAGACTTTTATTTATAAGGGATTACTTATTATTGGCAATATTACAAATATGTAAAAACTAATATATATCTCTTTTTGCTAAAAAGAGTCTAATGCAGGACTTAACAAAATGATTCACCTATTCTAATTATTTTTTTTTCAATAACCATTCAAGCAGTAACAAAAAAATTTTCAAAATCTATATATTTTAGGCAATATTTAGTAAAACACTGAGGGATTTGTAATACTTAATTATATAAAGACACTACAGTCAGATATACAGATTTGTTTTTAAGTTATAAGTAGAATTTGGTATGTTTGCTTTTCAAAGTTGGCTTAATGTATAGCAGATGAAGTGGAAGAGAAGAAAGTTGATTTTTTATACATAAAGGTGCTGCAGCCACTTTTTATAGATTGGTCTTCAAGTTATATAAAGAGTTTGATATATTCATTTTTCAAGTGTAATAAGAGTGTTCAATAAATAAAGTTGAGTTAAAATTTCTTAAAAATATTATTATTTAACCATGTATATGAACCTATATTGTTAAGGAGTAAACAAGAAACTTTTATTATCAATACTAGCTTTGTTTGCAAAGGTAACTAGAATTCTTGATTATTATATATTATCTTATTAGATATCTTAGATATCAGTATATTACTTGTAAAATTTTATACTGGCATTGACTACTATATAATTGAATACAATAGGATGTAACTTCTTAAAAGTTCAAATGACAATAGTTATATAATAACTTCTTAAATGTATCTAGTCTAATCATCAATAAGTAAACAATATTAAATATGATAATAATAACCATACTGATCTTTTGAAGGGATAAATTATCCATTTTTTTTTTAAAAAATCATAGATGTAGAAAATTTCCTAAAGCCTACAACATGAGAGAAGTTACTACTTCTTAATATAGTTCTTGAGAAAAAGAAGTCAACTGACCAGAGAGATGATGAGATAGAGGGTAATAGTTTTAAGAAAGAGAAAGATCCAAAAAAAAAAATTTCAGAAAAAATTAAAAAATTTAAATTTGACAAATAAGAGAAAGAAAAAAAAAAGAGATTATATATTAGAAAAGAATTATAGAAAAGAAAGTGAAAGAAAAAAAAAAGAAAAAAAAATAATAATAGGAAAAAAAATAATATTAGAAGAAAAAAAAAAGCAAAGAAAAAAAAACAATTTAAAAATTTTCTAAAAAAAAAACTTTTAAGTATAGAAGAGGAAATAGAAAAAAGTTTTTTTTTAAATAATTCTTTTTTTTAATATTTTTAATATTATATATTTTTTTATAATATATAGTTAAATTTAAAAATTGCTAAGACTAGTTTTTATAATTTATTTTAATAATATACTTTTTTTATTTTTTAAGTTTGCTAGTATAGATCTTTATTTATCTTTAAAAAAAAATATACAAAAGATATTATAAGAATATACATATTTATAAACTTAATCTAAAAAGATTAAATTAAGATTAAATATTATTAAAATTAATTAGATATAATACAATACTAGTTTCCACCATATAATTTATTGCTATTTTAAATAATATCTAATTTTATATTATCTTCCTAAAAATATAAGAAAATGTATAATATATAAGAATTATATTTCTATTTAAGAGAACAGAATAACATTTTGCTTTTTTGCTTTCTTTAATTACATTATTATTGTTATATTGTATAATAAGAACATGTGAAAAGAACATATCTTGTTTATCTTTCTGCTATATATTAATTAGCCAATTTAAAATTATAACTAATTACCAACTGAAGATTCCAATATAACAAAAAATTCAAAATTAAACTAAGATAGGTAAAATTTTCCAAAAATTTTTAAAAATTTGTTGAAATACTTGAAAAAGCTATTATGGACATCTGATTGATAAAAAAAATCATATGTTCATATTTATAGATCAAATACTAGCTTATTTATCTATTTTCAATAAAGGTGTTCACTTATAATAAACTTAAAATTTTTATAAAGCTTGAAAAATATATTTACTAGTAAACTTTTTTGGAATTCCGGATCTTAAAAAAAAATAGAAAAAAATATTTTTTTAACAAGTTTTTTCTTTTCAATAGAGGTTCTTATTATAAACCAAATGGATAAGGTTTAAATATTTTGTTATTGAAATATTTAAAGAGTTTTGAAGGAGAAAAGATAAACAAATAAGAAAGGCCTTTATCTTTAGAAACATATGTTATTAAAAAAATATTTAAACTTTATTATTGAAAAATAAAAAATTTTTTCAAGAATGTCTGTTTTTTAAATTGACAAAAGGATTAATGAAAAAAGTTATTTTTTATTTTTTATAAATAAAAGATATTGTTTTTTTTATAAAGTAAATTATATATAGTGTGGAACAAAAATAACTGAAATCAAAAAATCATTTATTGCACATTAACTTGCAATTTAATATAATATGAAAAATATATTATTTTAAAGTTTAAGACCTACATATCAACCTTTATTAGTGTCAGTATAAGATACGTTCCTCTTCTAACTCAATAACCAGATCACAACGATACTTCATCAATTTTATTAAGTTATTTAGAATGGTCGTCAGAATATTATCACACTTCTCAGTTATGAATCATTCCAGATCATCGAGATTTTTGGTATTTTTTTTTTACTTTATTTTTCACAATACTCTATAAATTCTCAATGGAGTTTAGGTCTAGGCTGTTTAACGGCCACTCAATAACCTCTGGGAAATAATTTTTAAGAAAATCTTGAGCAAGACAGCTTGTATATTTGGAATCGTTGTTTTGCTGGAAACGGCAACTGTCCCTAAGCATGCAGTTAATCTTGGGTAAGTGTTTTTTGAGAATTTTTATGTAGAGTTCTACATTTATATTTTGTCTAAAGCAAAATAAACTTGTTTTTCCTACCATACAGAAGTCATCTCATGAAAGAATTTTTCTTCGGTCTTTTGACATTGGACAGATCGGTTGCGTGCCCTTATACCAACATTCCACGGTGTTTCTGAACAGCTGAAAAGCTGTCTTATCTAAAAATAACACCAGGTTCTAGTGTTTGTTACGATATTTTTGGATCTACTCTACACATTTTTGCTTGTGGATCTCAGTAAACATGGGCATTGTTTTGGGAAGATTTTTTTTATATTCAATATTGTTAAGATGCCTTGCAATAGTTTGATAAGAAATATTTATACCTTTTTCTAATAGCTTTATTGCCAAAGTCCTCATCGAAATAGTGGGATTTCAGTATATGTATTTCCCAAGCACGATTGCTGCCTCCTTTGTGATTTTTTCTGGACGACCATTGCCTCTTGAGTATTTTAACAACTTATTTTTTTTAAGTTTTGCGATGTTTTCATATTATGAAGAAGGGTCCTTTGTTCTTGTATGTAGTTCCTTGGCATTATGTATATCAATGTTCCATAAATGTAACAAAGTTTCACATTGCTTTTTTTCAGGAGACAATAGCATTTCGAGGAGACGCAGCATGAGAAAAAAAAATGTTATGGTCACAAGACGATCAACATTTTTTGCCCTGGTTGTGTATTTATTCTAAAAAAAAATGGCACAGTTTGGATTAAATTTGGGCAAGTTAAAGGATTTTTTGTTCCACACTATATACAGTATACAAATCAAATAAAAAAATAATGTTTATCTATAGAAAAAAATTTTTTTTAAAAAAATTATAAATTATTTTTTAATAGTTCAAAATTAAATATTTGAACTATTATTAAATATACATGTATATATATATAATTATCCAAAAATATTTTAAAATTAGGATAGTTTATAATAAAAAAATGAAATAATTTTCAAATTAGGTTTTAAATAATTTTATAAATTCAATAAAAGTAAATAATAATAAAAATTAATTATTAATAAAATTTTTAGATTTTTAGTTTCATTTTGATAATAACTAAATAAAAAGTTTTGTTATACACTATATACAGTATATATATAATATTGCCTTTTAAGGTTTTTCTATTTTGGGCTGAAAATTCTTACATGTTCATTTTCGGATACCAAGGAAAGGGAATTTGTGATAATTAAATTATAACATTATAGTTTGAGCACAGATTTGACATAATTTTGTTCTGAGAAAAGTCTATAAATATGTATTTTTCCCTCTATTCCGGCGCCGAGTGTGCTAATTGAGAGATGCCAAAAAATTTGGATGCTTTAGATACAGAAAGTAACATGTAGAAGTCATTAGGTTTTGCTTATAACACAAAATCGAATGACATCAAAAAATAATTTCTATGCTTTTTGTAATTAATAAAGAGGCTAAAGAACTTCAAAAATAGGAAAGTATTTATGATGTTTGAGAGTAAAGGTTATAAGGAATGAAACGCGAGTTTTAAGACGAAAAGATGTAGGGAGAAAAAATTTAAATCACGTTCCGAATATTACCAATAGTCAACTCACCCTGAACGGTTTTTAACTATCTTATGAAAATATTCGGGATCCTAGAAAAATTGAGTTGAATAGATGAATAATATTGTATTTTAACCCATAATGCCATCTAGAGTATTATTTTTAAGTGCAATTTTATTGGTTTAATTAGTGACCCAAGCCAACACGATTTCTACAAAGAAAATTTTTATTTAGAATACGAGGAAATTGTAAAATAGTATATATCTAAAGTTTTAATTATAAGATTAATTCTAATGTTCAACTAACTTTTATATAAATTGTAAATTAGAATTCGTTTACAAGTGGCCTAATAGTTTACACGATTCTATTAAAGACAATTGGTCAGTTGAAGTAATGAAATACTAACAACAAAAGAGATGTTTAAATAGCCTTACTTGAATATCCGAAATATAATCCTTTAATTTTTCACTACCCCGTTCGACTACCGTTTTTATAGCTTCATAATCGGATGAAGCTTGTCCAATAAATTTGCGAGCAAAATCCCGCGCATTCAACTCTATAGCACCCAAGTCTAAACTTTCCCGCCGCGAAACTTGATCATCTCTGCCAAAATATTGATTTGATGATATTGAACTAGCACCCTCAAATTGTTTCAATCTTTCAGATGAAGCTGACAGTGCATCGGGATCATACTGATTACGACCGAAAAATTGATCGGATGAGATGGACTTTTGATTACCAAACTTTTGACGAGCAAAATCTGAATCTGATGAGGGAACTAATAAAATAATATGGGTTAATGAGATATATCAAGATAAAAAACGTATAAAAAATAATAGATACCATTCTCATCTTGCTTATTTGAACTAGTAGAACCAAACCCTATAAACCTTGACGATGTTTCTATAGGTTTTTGTGCGGAGTTACTAGTCACCGTTCCAAATCCCAGTCTTGAAACACCCATACCAAGTCTTTCAATATCATCGCTCTGGCGCCTTGCATTGTTACCTTCAATATCACCTGATGACTGTGAGGTATCATTGTATACCAAACGAGAACTATATGTCCATTTGTTTTCGATAGAGTTTCGTGCACTGGATTCTTCATTTTGCGATGGCTGCTGCTTACTTAATTTTTCTTCATCTTTTGCTTTTTGTTCGGCCACTTCGATATCAACTTTTTGAAGTTTCACAGCACCTAATCCCAATTTTGATTTTTTGGGAACCTTACCACGGGTGGAAATACTCGATTTAATTGTCGTTGATGGTTTTGTAATTGTCTGATTATTGGAACTAGGTAATTTGTTTCCCGTGGTAACTTTTGCTGATTCTTCTACTGGTTGAGACTTTTGAATAGTTTCTTCATTAGGTTTTTCAAAAAAGTCGTCATTTTTGCTAAACACTGTTGATGTAGATTGTTCTTCGTGATTTTCGACAATTTCAAGATCTGGATCTCTTTAGATGAACACAAACAATATTAGATGAATTTAATGGAAATTTTTCAGAAACTAAATAAAAATAATTCAAATCACCTTTGGGCATCTTCGTTGGCTCGTTTGATGAGTTCATTCTTATATTTCAAAGCGACACGAGAGGTGTATTTTGATTTTATATCCTTGTTGTTCAATGAAGCTGCTCCACCATGTTTTGAGAAATAATCTAACGCTGCGGCATTACCACCCACTTTCATGATTCGTAATTGATCCCACGTCCACGAATCCAATGCGATCGATCTGTATTGAGGAACTGGTAAGATTACTTAAAAAAAAAAAAAAACAACATTCGTCCTTTTTGAAGGAAGTAGGATATAACCTGACAAAGCTAATGTGAACACCGAGATTCCTGTGCGTAGAGGAGCAATCAAGGCAAAGATATATTCCAAAAGTGACGCTAGACCACGAAGGATTTTTGGCCTTGCAATCAAAGCACATCTGATAAGAATAGAAGTGGTTAGAAGTCGGAAATTTTTTTTCTTTAATACAAAAGTAGTACCTTATTTGCCCGTTGGGTGGTAAGCTTTTTGAAGACTTCATCAATTTGAGCTTTGGTCGGTTCCAACATTTTGATGGAGAATGAATGAATAGATTTCTCTAAGGCTCCAACATGTATGATGGGACTCGTGGCTTTTACACCCATAAATGGATGACCAAAGTTTGTTCATGCGCGCAAAAAAAAATTATTCGTGTAACGTAATTTCATAGTCAGGTTAAATAAAACGAACTTTTGCTGTAAAAGGTCTTGTTTTAAATTTTTTTTTTTATTCTAAAACATTGTTCTTGAATGTTGTATAACCTCACTTGATCTTCAATTTATATACAGTGTGAGTCAAAATTATTGGAAAAAATTTTTTATTAATAAACTTTACAACTATCAAAGCAATTTAGACG